TTCCCAGAGAAAAGGGAGTCAGTTTAGATTTACAACAGTGGTTTGCAGAAGGTCATAGTTCAGAGTCTGCAGAGGGGAGAAGCTGGGAAATTTAGGAGAGGAGGAGCAATGAGAAGAAGCACTGGGAGGGGGTGACTGCTAACAGGTTCAGTGTCTTTAGAAAGCATACCTGACCCCCCCTCGCAGGACCTGGCAGGCATTGGGAGTAGAAGAACAGAAAGCTTAGAGGCGAGGAAGTACAGATCAGCTCCTATTCCATCTTCATGTATGTGACAACGGCCGCGAGAGTTCTGGTAGCACAAGGATGGAAGACTGAAGAAACCCCAACTAAAGAATCATGGCAAGAAAAATTGACGGACTATGCAGAACTGGCAAAACTGACATATAAGCTATGGGACAAGGATAACTGTGACTTTAAGGATGAATGGGAACCCTTTACAAGGTATCTGAAGATGCAACAAAGTGAACTGGACTCCTTGGCAGGTTTTGAATAAACATTCACAAACCTTTTATTGATAATAATCAGCTAAATAGTTTGAGGATCTATATGACTTTGTAACATGCAGAAAACAGCATTCTTAGAGAAACCAAAGACTGGAACTGAGGGAAGTCGGGGTGGGGGGGTTTGTGGGGGATGATATGTTTTTGGATAATATGTCTTGTTTTAATTTTTAATAATTTTTTTTTAAAAGGAAGCACAGATCAGCCAATGCAGGGATGACGTAGAACAGGAGAGACAAAGTGGGTGGGACTTTACTCAGAGCAACGCCATTATCTAAGAGAGACGGCATTTCTACGTCTCTGTGAATATTGAATAAAAGACTGGTAAGAACTCTTCTTGTTTATCTACTTCTTGGCTGCCCCCATGGGAGGGGTCGGATTCCCTGAAGCCTGACAGGTATGTATAGAAAAGATTTTAAAAGAAAAGAAAGATTGAAATGTAAAAATGAATTGGGCACGTCTGAGAAATCCATTTAAAATCCTTGAACCCCCTGTGTAGGGTTGTGCTTTATAGGATGCTCATATTGGGACACAATTCCCCCTCTGCCAGTGACCTCATCTGTAAGAGAAAAAAACTTACCTTGGTAGACAACGTACAGCTACCAGGAGATGGAAAAGGAGATGAACCAAAACACAGTCATCCTTTTGACATTTGCATGTCTCTGAATTTGGCTAGTAAAGTGTACAGAGGTGCACATTGTAAGATGCGCATGTACCGGTAAGTGCATTGTAGTAATGCATGGCATTAGACAAAATAGATTTGCAATGATGTTCATACTAGGCAAAATTGCACACATCTATATTAGTTGAAATTTGTACCAAAATGCTGATAGATTTTTGTGAGAACTTAAAAAATAATAATCATAGACTGTTGTGGAAACAAGGAGAACGGAACTTAGGACCACAATATCTCAAGGACCGCCTCCTTCCATATGAACCTACCCGGACCCTGAAATCATCTTCTGAGACCCTTCTTCATCTGCCTCCTCCTTAAGAGGTCTGGAGGGTGGCAACACGAGAACAGGCCTTCTCTGTGGTGGCTCCCATCTGTGGAATGCTCTCCCCAAGGAAGTTCGCCTGGTGCCTTCATTATACACCTTTAGGCACCAGGCAAAAACGTTCCTTTTAAACCAGGCCTTTGGTTGATCTGTTTGACATCCTATACCCTTTTAAACATCCTATACCCTTGCCAACAAAGGTCCGTATAGTTAAAGCTATGGTTTTCCCAGTAGTGATGTACGGAAGTGAGAGCTGGACCATAAAGAAGGCTGATCGCCGAAGAATTGATGCTTTTGAATTATGGTGCTGGAGGAGACTCTTGAGAATCCCATGGACTGAAAGAAGATCCAACCTATCCATTCTTAAGGAAATCAGCCTGGAGTGCTCACTGGAAGGACAGATCGTGAAGCTGAGGCTCCAATACTTTGGCCACCTCATGAGAAGAGAAGACTCCCTTGAAAAGACCCTGATGTTGGGAAAGATGGAGGGCACAAGGAGAAGGGGATGACAGAAGACAAGGTGGTTGGACAGTGTTCTTGAAGCTACCAGCATGAGTTTGACCAAACTGCGGGAGGCAGTGGAAGACAGGAGTGTCTGGCGTGCTCTGATCCATGGGGTCACGAAGAGTCGGACACGACTAAATGACTAAACAACAACAAACCCTTTTAAAATGTGACTATTGGGTTGTTGTTTTTATTCTGATTATATATGCTGTGATCTTTTCTGTGAACCGCCCTGAGACCTCCAGGTATAGGGCAGTATATAAATTTCAATAAATAATAATAATAAATTAAGATTGGGAAACAGAGAGAAACTGAAAGTAACACATTGGTTATCCCTAGTGGCACAGACATAAAGGAATTTCTGTTGGTTCATAGTTGTAACCAACAGGAAATCCGGGGGGGGGGGGGACTCTAGCACACTCTTTGTATTGTTTCCTGAATTTATAGTGCTGCAATCAGAAACCAGGAGCAGGGGGAAGCTGCTGGGTAGAAGGATATAACCACTCTGGGCTTGCCTGGCATTAAAAGACACCGTCGTAATCAAATAGCAATCTCCTTTGATTTACTCAGAAGCAACCAGAGGATTCAGGAGCGTGTGAAAGAGAGAGATGCCAGGCTGCCTTGATTCAGAGCAGGAAGCAGTTATCAATTAAAGCAGGCAGGAGGAAAACTCTTAGATGGTAACTGCACATCATGCAATGCTAACTATCCAGAATTTCAAGCAGTTGGTGTTCAGGACCAAGTGTTCTCAAGCCTGTAGGGTCAAAATAATTTAATATGCAATAATATCCACCACCCAGGAATGCACTGAAGGAAACTCTGAGATGAAGCATTTTTCTGTTACCGTCTGTGACAGGATTAACCTATTGGAGAAAGATAGTTACAGATGTTTGTAACTGGCATTCAACCATCTAATTTGAAATGTGTCTTTAATACCGGTTTTTAAACTTTTCCCCAAAGAGGCCCCAGCACAAAACAGCACTTACATACTTTTGGGATCAACAGGACAGTTTGTTGTGAAACAATTAAGCCTCGCTGATTTTTATTTTTAAAAAATAATTTTTATTAAAGATTTCTAAGTTTACAAAAATACCTGCATTGTCTCTTTTTTCCAAGTTGTGTTTTCTATGGATCAGTTTCATTTGTTGTAGGACATTAGTGTTGCATGCAGTACAGTGGTACCTCTGGTTAAGAACTTGATTCGTTCAGGAGGTCCGTTCTTAACCTGAAACCGTTCTTAATCTGAGGTACCACTTTAGCTAATGGGACCTCCCGCTGCCACCGCGGCACGATTTCTGTTCTCATCCTGGGGCAAAGTTCTTAACTCGAGGTACTACTTCTGGGTTAGCGGAATCTGTAACCGAAGTGTTTGTAACCCAAGGTACCACTGTATTAGGTTCAATACTAAGATTCTTTGAAAATAGGGTACCATTGACCCCCCCTTTGATGCCGCGTGATAAGCCAATGGTAGAAGAGGACCAGGAAAAACCGACCCCCAAATGTCTGGTCTGATCATCATAAACAAGAAACCCCAAAATTAAAAAGGAAAAGCATACCCTTACATGATTTGCGATGCCCTGTGAGCAAGCTGGTGCTTCCTACCATTCCTCTTCATCCAGCCAGTCCCCAGCAGATATATAGATCTATAGGGCATTATCTTCTGCTGAAGGTCTGCTGGTTGAGTGGCTATAGCTTTCAGCTGCTACTACAAATGCGAGCCAGACAAATCTCCCGCATCCCTAATTCGCAACAATCCTATAGACTTGGCAAGGCTATTCCGAAAGCAAGTTGCCTGAAACCTGTGGCTTTAGCTGTTGTCAAAATCCAGAGACGGCTGCCCACCGTGTAAGTTGTACTCCACCAAGCAAGCCAGTTCCTGCAAAAACTGCCTTTAGAAAGAGAGATGATCGCAAAGCAAACACACGGCATCAAGATCCCAGGAATGTCAAACAACAAGTGGTGCTACCTGACCTCTCTTCAGAAATTGTTACCTTGGGAGATCTAACTGGAGCACCAGGTGAGTGCACAGGGGTCATTTGACCGGCAGTCAAAACTCAGCCACCTCCCAAAGGGGCAGTTTGAGAACCTCTTCCCTTGGAATAGCTGCACAGGTGATACGGAATCAGCAAGCACACCAGGCCTGCAGCTGCAAATGTTAAGGGAGGTAATGATGGAACCAGAGACCATAGCAACACCCAATACCAAACTTAAAGCAGAATTAATAGATGTACATATTGTACAAAACATTAAGTCCACTTACCTTAATTGGTCAGGCCAATGACAGCTACAGGGGTTCTCCGGGGGGTGATACCAACCAGCCAATAAGCATTGCTTTGGTCTGCCCCCGGGGGAATAAATTGAAGCCAGCCCAGCACTCCTCCTCCTTTCATGGTAGACCTTACAGTAGACATTGTCGGCTGCCATATTTGGGGCTGGCCAGGAATTTTTCCACTTGGCAAATTGTCACCGGCCACTTAGTTTTTGCCTACCTCATAGTAATCATCACAACTTTGTGAGGTTCAGGGCGGGCTCAGCAAACTTTTTCAGCAGGAGGCCGGTCCACTGTCCATCACACCTTGTGGGGGGGCCGGGCTATATTTTGGAGGGGAAAATGAATGAATTCCTATGCCCCACAAATAACCAAGAGATGCATTTAAAATAAAAGGACACATTCTACTCACGTAAAAACATGCTGTTCCCAGACCGTCCATGGGCCGGATTTAGAAGGTGATTAGGCTGGATCCAGCCCCTGGGCCTTAGTTTGCCTACCCATGGATTAGGCATTGAGTTTGAAAGCATGTCAAAGTGCGAGTAGATAAATAGGTACCACTCTGGCAGGAAGGTAAACAGCGTTTCCGTTAGCTGCTCTGGTTCGCCAGAAGCGGCTTAGTCATGCTGGCCACATGACCCGGAAGCTGTACGCTGGCTCCCTCGGCCAATAAAGCGAGATGAGCGCTGCAACCCCAGAGTCGGCCACGACTGGACCTAATGGTCAGGGGTCCCTTTACCTCTTTAAGCCTTAGTCTTAGCTGGAAGGGAGATTGTAACCTCTGCCTGTCCCTCCTTGGTTAAGGGTATCCCTTTGAAATGATCCATGAGGAGTTGCCCAGACATGGGCTAGGGCCATAGAACTCCTCCAGCAAGGACCCCTCGAAGGGCACCTGTTCCAGTTATTTTATTACAAAGGGAGCGGCTAGGTCATGGAGTCTTGGCACAAAACAACCACTATATTAGACTTTAATATGTTGGACTTTTTGAAGGGGAAAGAGGATTTCAAATAAAATCTCAGACTGAAATGTGGAGAACTGAACTCAAGATTGGAAAGGTGGGAAATGGAGAGAAACCAAATTTGACAGATTTGCTAATCCCTACTCTGATGCAGAGAAAAACTTGACTCAGCTTGGTGAGTCTGTATATCTTGGCCTGCTGGCATGGGTGCAACTTGTTGCTCCATCTCTGGCAGCAAAATGCCTCGAGGCAGCCCTGATCCAACAGCAATCATATAATCTATCTAAATGTAATAAATGGGGGCAAGCTTCTCTAGTAAGAATGTCCACCTTTTTCTTAAATATTGGCAAATGGGTGAAGTAGCCAAGATTGTGGAGGTCATCAAATTATGTATCACAATGAAAGCTAAGCAGACTGTTTTAAATGCTCCAAAAGGATCTCTGTAAACTGGCTGAATAGGCGACAAGAAAACAGCAGATAAGGTCTGCTGTAATTGTAAAGCAATAGATAATGGGAGAAAACAGCAAATAAGAACGGCCTCAACTTCACAAAGGCGGTGATGAGGTCTGAACTGGTTTGCAGGGGGGCAGTTCACTGAAAACATCAGCCGAGTGTTCATATGAACCATGTTTATTTTGACTGCAGGTGTACTTTTCACTTAATCTTCCTTTTTATTTACTTGTAATGATGGTGTGGTTGGGTAATAATTTAACTGGCTTAACAATAAATCTTTGACTGACTGACCACAGGGCCAGACTACATGGGAAGCTTAAAGATGCAGTGAGGAGCAGGTTTCATGGGGACCGCAGAATGAGACACACACAGAGGGGAGTGGCGTTCTTCCTTTCCTCCCCAGTCACAATCACAGCCAGAATCAAGTTTCTTAAGGACAAATGCTAGTGTCCATAGATACCAACTCTATGGAGCTGGACAGCTCAGGGGCCCCCTCCCAAAGTATGTGGGGACAGGGGCTGACCCCCCCCCCAATCTTGAGGAGTATTCCCTGTTGTATGTTTCAAGACAATGCCTTCAGCTCTTCCGGATGGGTGATTTAGGAAAATATCTTATTTTAGTTGGTGAAGGTCCTGTGATTTACAGGTAATGGAAGCCTCAAACTGCATCTTATTATTTTGTAACTTTTATTAAGATCTCAGGAAGGAGTTGATTGATCCAGTAAGCATTTTGTATGCTGGGGGATCATCTGAATATTACATTTCTCTCTCTCTGGTAAGATGATTAAAAAAATAAGATTATTACAAAAAAAATTGGTGCTACATTCCTGTTAATAGCAATCAAGATACATGTAAAAAAACAAACAAACCCGAATAAATATAGTAATGTTTTTTCCTATATGATAACAAAGGTATTTAATATTTTTGTATCCAGTTTTACCCATGAACTGATGTAAAAGTTTTATTGTGAGATCTGTTAACTAGACCAATAAATTCATTCGTTCGTTGAGACCACAGCCCTAGGGGGAAACAGTGACTTAACTCTTCTCAGTTATGGGCACAATGAAAAGCATTGCTATTAGTCTGATAGAAGCTCTACAAATCTTTAAGCAGGGGTGTTTTGCAGACCTTCTGTTTGCTTTTTCCTACTTCAGACTTTTTAAAAAAAGAAGATTAAATTAGAGAACGGTTTTAGAATATATGCCTTTTTCTTCTGCTGGAACCTATGTTGCTGCTTTATATTTAATTGCCCTGTGCTTTTTTTAATTTGCATTGCGTTGCTACTATCTAAATTGTTTTTTCTTCTTATTGGCCTGTGTTTTTTATTATATGTAAAAAAATAAAAACCTGCCATGTGGGATTTGTGCCTTAAAAAGGCTGCCTGGATATAAGCTTAGGAAGGAAGGAAGGAAGGAAGGAAGGAAGGAAGGAAGGAAGGAAGGAAGGAAGGTCCCATTCCTGAGTCCCGAATGACTGGGCAAAGGGAAGAGTGGATTGCTGGGAGACAACATTAACTTGGCTGTCCTGATGTTTGCAAGAAGGATGCCTGCTCATTGTTCCGGCACGTGAGAAAATAGAAATATTTATTTTATGTTTACATGGGTGGAGTGTGTGCTTGTATCTTTCCAGTTTTAATCCAGGGTGGGGAACGTGTGGCTTGGGTTTGGTAAACGCTGTCCTCTCTCCCCCATCTCTGCAGGTGACCAGGGTTGCCTGTACAGTGGTACCTCTGGAAGCGAATGGGATCCATTCCGGAGCCCCGTTCACATCCTGAAGCGAACGCAACACGCGTCTGCGCATGCGCAGTTGCGATTCGCTGCTTCTGCGCATGCGCATGACATCATTTTGAGCATCTGTGCATGCGCGAGTGGCGAAACCCGGAAGTAACGCACTCCGTTACTTCCGGGTCGCCACGGAGCGTAACCTGAAAACGCTCAACCTGAAGCACATTTAACCGGAGGTATGACTGTACATCACAAGATGTGTCATTCATTCAATCAATCAATCAATCATTTTATTTGTATGTCGCCTTTCCAAAGTGAAAACTATGCTCAAGGCGGCTTACAACGTATGAAAAAAAACACTTAACTACAAACATAAAAGCAGTTATAAATAATAAACAAAACTTCAAAAAGCAGACAACCAAATTGAACAATTTCATTGCTAATTAGTGACTGGTTTGATTGCCACCATTTTCCTTCTGCTTTTAGATCACTGCTGGGTGCCTCTGACACAAGTGCCCCTACTTGACCCTGCTTATGAGAACTGACAAGATCACAGCTCTGAGGTGGTTTTGTTTCTGGAAAATGCAGCCCTGCAAAATGCCACTATTCTGGTCCTGTGTGACAAAGCCACTCAGCACATCAAGAGGGGGACTGCTGCCCCTTGTGGAGCATGCCGGGTATTTGTCATTTTCTCCTAATCAAAACAACAAGGCTTTAAAAAGCAAGACGTGTTTTTTTTTAACTCAACACACTAGTGTCCAGCAAGGCTCGGATTATGTCTTTATTTCTCCCTGAAATAAATACCTATTTTGGTCTTCTTTTTTGTAATAGTATTTTATTATTTTTGCCGTATAGAAAGTTGTTTACTCAACAATTGTATTCCAATTCAACAACAACTAGTGACTTCCTGCTCAGCAAACATCGATGTTCATAAATCAAATTACATACAATTGCAGGTTATGGTTCCTCCTTATCTAATTTCATCTTTAAAATGTTTCTTAATATATTCTGCTATTTTCTTACACTTTGGACCCCACTGTGATCTTCATGTATGGGAAGCAACTTTTTATACGGACTAGAAAGGGTTTTCAGTCTTCTTTAAAAGATTCCAAATTTGGATCTTTTATCAATACCATCAAGTTTGCCATCTTGGTCTTCCTGATATAGCAAAGTTAACAAACTTACACTACCATAACCTGCGTGCAAATTGTTTGCTGATCTTGCAAGACTCATTTGGAGACATAAACATAGGACTAGGGACAAAGGAAGTTGCTTTATACCGTCAGACAATTGGTCCATCTGTCTCAGTATTGACTAGTTGTTGTTGTTGTTTAGTCATTTAGTCGTGTCTGACTCTTCGTGACCCCCTTGACCAGAGCACGCCAGGCACTCCTGTCTTCCACTGCCTCCCGCAGTTTGGTCAAACTCATGTTTGTAGCTTCGAGAACACTGTCCAACCATCTCGTCCTCTGTCATCCCCTTCTCCTTGTGCCCTCCATCTTTCCCAACATCAGGGTCTTTTCCAGGGAGTCTTCTCTTTTCATAAGGTGGCCAAAGTATTGGAGCCTCAGCTTCAGGATCTGTTCTTCCAGTGAGCACTCAGGGCTGATTTCCTTAAGAATGGAGAGGTTGGATCTTCTTGCAGTCCATGGGACTCTCAAGAGTCTCCTCCAGCACCATAATTCAAAAGCATCAATTCTTCGGCGATCAGGGTAACTCAGAGTAAGATCAGAATAACGCAGAGAAGCTATGAGCTATGCCGTGCAGGGCCACCCAAGATGGACAGGTCATAGTGGAGTGTTTTGACCAAATGTGATCCACCTAGAGCAGGAACCGGCAAGCCACTCCAGTATCCCTGCCAAGAAAACTCCATGGACAAAGACAACAGGCAAGATCAATAGGCTTTATTAACTTCTCCCTCCCCGCTTTCTTTCTGCTGCTGAATACTTGGGGTTTGAATGGGCTTACTTTTGAAAACCCATCAATGTTTCATTTTGATGACTTTTTTGCTGCTGTTGTAGTTGTCTACAAGGTGTGATCGGAAAGTTTGGTGAATGGTCACAGAAACCGGACAGCGAGAAATATTCCAAAATACAATTGACATCAGAAATCCACAAAATGCTCACAATTGTGTACAGAGATGAAGCTGCAACTCAAAAGACAGTGTACGAGTGGTTTAAGCGTTAAGGGCGGCAAACCATCGAAGATTACCCTCATTCTGGCAGACCGCCGATGAGCAGAACGGCAGCAAATGTCGACAGAGTTTGTGAGTTACTGATGCGGGATCGGCGTTTGTCCATCCGAATGATGGCGGAAGAATTGCATATTCCGCATGAAATCGTTACTGAGGTTACTGAGTTGTCCCATCTTCCATATTCTCCCCATCTGGCCCCACCGGATTTCTTTCTTTTTCCAAAACTGAAATCTGCACTGAAAGGGCACATATTTTCCAACATTTCACACGTCCAAGCTGCTGTGACGAGGGAACTGAAAGCAGTGTGAAAAGAGGACTTCTCCAGAGGTTACCAACAGTTCTACGAATGTTGTCAATGGTGCATTATATCAGAGGGGGCCTGTAAGGCATGTGTGTTCAAATATTTCTTGCTGTCTGATTTCTGTGACCATTCACCGAACTTTCCAGTCATACCTTGTATTTATAGTTCACTGAGACTGCACATTCTGTGTTTTGTTGACAGGACCCCCGCCCAGAGCAGCTAGGGTGATCAAATGCATAGAAGGGACGCAGGTCTTTGAGAAAAGCTGTGTCTCTTTTATGCGAGGGTTAAACATAGCCGTCAACCATCCCTTATTTGGTGGGAAACTCCCTTATCCCAGCGCTGTGTCCTGCTGCTGTCCCTTATTGATGATGTCCCTTAAATTTCCCGGGTTTCAAAGGAAGCAGCTCCTCTCCCTTCCTCCCTGCCGGCCAGAGAGGAGGGAGGCTCCAACTGTGTTGCTTGGCTGCCCGGCCCGCCCCCCCTCCGGCCTCCCCTGTGGCCTCGGCCCCCAGGAACCCCTCCCCAGCTGGGACTGAGGAGCCTTGAGAGGAGAGTGAGGGCAACCATAGAGGAAGCAGTTCTGAGAGAGGAGGCGGAGGCGTGGGCAGGTGTTCCAAGGGCTAACCATAGAGGGGGAAAGCGGAGGAAGGACCGCAAGCGCTTCCCCCATAGATTTATAGTGGTAGATGGTCTGATCTGCGGGTCTACTTCGGACGCTATCCCCCCCCCCCTTCATCCTGCCCCACCTGATGGAACTGAGAGCTGCAGATGGAGCACAATAGAAAAGATACAGAACTGCAGCAGCATCTTTGTAGCTTGGACTTCGTTTTGCATGAAAAGTGGTTGCTGATTGTAGTTATTTAATTGCAGTGTTTCATCAGCTTGTGTCTTGAGCAGCAACCTCTGGAAACGAAGGGCTAAAAACCGGCGCTGCTCTCCCAAATTATCTGGTCCCTTTTAACTTCGTATTTCAGCTGTTTGACTAAAATCCCTTATTTCGGCTGCTGATCCCTTATTTTCGAGGCCGCTGGTCCCTTATTTTCAAATCTGTAAGTTGACAGCTATGGGGTTAAAGGGAGAGGAGACCTATAGAACCTAAACCTCGAACGAACTAACTGTGCAGAAATAGGTGGACAAGGTCACATCAGACGCTCACCAGGGTCTACGGCTGGAACAGTGCCTAGCAGAGAAATAATAGAGGGTAGTTGTTTCCATTTGAGCATCCTCAGATGACCCAAAGGCATTTTCCACACTAAACCCTTTGGTGTCACTGAGTTTATCCTGCGGCACATGGTCAGCAACTTCACAGCCAGCCCACCTGGCCCCACCTAGTCAGCAGAACCAATGGCTGGCATGCAGAGTTATCACCCAATTCTGCTGAAAGCTGTGTTTCTCAGATGTTTTGAACTTGGAACACACGCACACCTCTCTCAGAACTTACCCTGGGGCCCCAAGCCAGCGCCAGTAATGTGTTGCATAGGTAAACACGTAGGGATGCTTGCATCAGCTGGCTGCATACAGACTGCTCAACTATGCAAGGAACTGTGGACTAGAGCAACAGTCCAGCACTGGCAAATGGAGAGGAATGGAGCAGGATCTCTCTCTCTCTCTCTCTCCCACACACCCCCACACCCCCACAAAACAATGCATACTGACACATTGTACAAAGAAAACTGCAGCCCTTTTTTAAAAATATCAAATTGTGAGTCAGTGAGGTCCTAGTGTTGATCAACGAAGTTCATCTGCTAAACAGCCCAGCTCTTGGCTAACGCAAGGGTAAATGAAGGCATCCCATGCCTCAGGATCTTATCCCAACCTGAAATTTCATACAGTCTCTTCTCCACGTTCCCCTTAAGTCTAAAATGCAGCCGCCAGATCAGTGGCTGGGGGTTCCTTTTAAATCTCATATAAACCTCTGTTTTAAAACAGTTGCACTGGTTGCCAATTGGTTTCCGGGCCTAATTCAAGGTGCTCATTTTTTTAAGCAGCTGTTCTTCTGTCTTCCGCCATCCCTTCCCTTCAAATGCAGGTGTCTGTAGCTGCTTTTGGTTTTTTTAAAATAATGGGTAAAGTTTGCTTGCTTGATATTAAATTTAGATACCTCCCTTCATCAAAATATTTCAGGGTGGTTCACAGAATAAAATACAAGCTGAAACAAAAGTAAATAATTTCTAAACCGAAACATCAAAATAAAAACTCCCCTTTCCACAGACAGATTTTAAAAGGCTGTAGGATACGAATCAGGCAAAGGCCTGGTTGAAGAGGAATGTTTTTGTCTGGTGCCTAAAATATATATATAATGAAGATTAGGGAGGTCATGTTTGCTACTTTACAGAGAGCAGCAGTTCCATGCCTTCCAACATTTCTCTGAGGAAAATAGGGGCGTCCCATTCCATAATAATAATTTTACTACTGGGTTGCCCCAGCACTCTGGGCAGCTCCCAACATACAGTTGTACCTTGGATCCCAAACGCCTTGGTACCTGGACGTTTTGGCTCCTGAACGCCACAAACCTGGAAGTGATTGTTCCGGTTTGAGAACATTCTTTTGGAACCCGAACATCCGGTGGGATTTCAGTGGCTTCTGATTGGCTGCAGAAGCTTCCTGCAGCCAATCTGAAGCCGCAATTTGGTTTCCAAACGTTTTGGAAGTCAAATGGACCTCCAGAATGGATTCCATTTGACTTCCAAGGTACGACTGTATATAAAAACTTGTCTGGGATCAGATAGTCACTGGTGGAGGGGGTGCGGGGGGTGCAGTCCGCCCCAGGTGTCATCCCTGAGGGGGGGGGTGATATCGCCCCGCTGCCCCCCTGGGACGCTCGCCACAGGCAGCTGGCCTCCCCTGGGTGCACAGCATTTGTGCCACTCCAGGTACCGGAGCAGGTAGTTCCACCTCTGGCCAGTGGTGCCCAGAGAACTGGGTGTTCAGCCAGACACGCCAAGCGCCGGAGCTGCTTTTTTCCTTTTCCTTTTGAGTCTGCTCTGTAACATGAGCACAGCAGCTTGATGGATTTGGGGAGAGAGAAAGAGAGAGAAGGAGGCTCCGCTCGGCAGCGGACACGGAGCAGATTGCCGCTTGCACATGCCATTTTTTCCGCGCGCTCAGTTTTGTAGCGAAACTCGACCGTGCAGCCCTTTTCCTCCCAGGCGCGCTTGACGGATTTGTCAGCCAGACACCTCCGGGGAGGAAATTCCGTGTGACCTCTTTGGCACTCGGAACCTGCCTTCCGCTGCTTCTGCCTTAGGTCACATTCTCGCGCCGCCAGCGAACTCGCCTCGCTCAACAGGAGGCACAGCGCGGTCCCCACCCTGGGGAGGAGGTTTTGCTTTCTGTCGCAGGGTGGTACGGACCGAAGTTGCAGCTATGGCAGCTTGTAGCAACTCTGGTCGAGGTGCATGTGCGAGCAGCATATAAGCAAAGTGGAGTGGGGGGGCTCCAAAGTAACATGT